TCAAGGTATTGTTGATTTTATTTTAAACACGTTTTCAAACGCCCTTTCTCACACGTGCCAAACTCAATATACACAATATAAGCATATGTGACGTTCAACGTTTGAGTCGGAAAGAATTCTGCTTGTATCTTTGTTAAACTTTACTAAAGTTATTCCGTCTTTTGCAGATTTAGAAACTGTTTGTCAAGCCAAAGAAAGAGATTCTTCAAGTAACAACGGGCCTATATTGTTGTGTGACAAATTTGGAAGTTTCCGTCGTGTTCAGTGTATGGAAGGGGCACCATATTGCTGGTGCGTCGATAAGTATGGCAATGAGGTGCCTAGAACAAGAGTCAAAGATGTTCCTCGATGCAATGGACAGGGTAAAAAAATAGCTAAAATTTTTGAAAAGCAAGCTTTTTATGGAAGCCATTTTATAATGGAATTTTATTAGAACAGATAAATAATTACTGCATGATGCGTGGTTTGCAATGTTCAAAATTGTCGTGTAACACCAAAGAGACTCCGATGTTACACCGACGCAACTTTGATCCAATGCCGACGCATCTCCGATACTACAACGACGCTACTCCGATGTTGAACCGACGCAACTCCGATGCAGTAGCGAAGCATCTCCGATGTTACACCGACGCTACTCCGATGTTGCACCGACGCAGCTCACACCATTTTAATGCTTTTATTCCTTTTTACTTGTAGATGGATTAACGATGTGTCAAAAAGAGCGTCAACTTGCTCTAGGTTGGACTGGAGAAGCTGAAGATGGACAATATGTTCCTAAATGTCGACCAAATGGTGACTATAACTTGRTACAGTGTCATGGATCCACAGGATTCTGCTGGTGCGTTAATAAACTAGGACAAGAAATATCAGGAACAAGGACCAAAGGAGAGCCAGTGTGCGTTATGTTTGGTAAGGAAATAGTGGGGCTGTCTCGGTTCTGAGAGGCTAAGATGATATCAGTGATCAAAAACAAAAAGCATCGGCAAAATTTCACCGAAGCGAGTGCCTCGGTTTGCCTCCTACTAGCTACGGCGCTGTCACATAGATATTACACTTATACACCTTAGTATGCTCTAATTGCATTATTTTCTTTTGTGTCTATTTGACTATCACACTTTAATTGATAGTTAGTTTTTGTTTCACGGGTTTAATGACTTCATTCTACCAAGAATTATAGAGTGGTTTTCATCGGACTGCGAAACAATTACTATTAGTCAGTGTTTGATAGTGTCTAATAGTTGTATCCCAATAAAAGAAAACAATGGAGAGTCTTCTAGTGTCTATTAGCGTAGGAACTATTTCACAGTCCGATGAAAATCACTATCAAAATCTAATAGTCAATGTGTAATTGTCAAATAGACAAAAAGAAAACAATGAACGATCTGTGTGTACCAATAAATTATCTGGTTTTACAGTATATCAATGTAAATACAACTAGTTGTGCAACATTTTTCTACAAAGGTGACAAGACCTCTTGTGAAGTTGAGCGTTGGCGGTACCTTGGGAGCATGGGTGTGGCATTCCCAGGTCGCTATGTCCCTCAATGTAATGACAAGGGTTTCTATGTACCGCATCAATGTCATCAAAGTACGGGGTATTGTTGGTGTGTGGATAGCTATGGTAGAGAGATTCCTGACACAAGGAGACCTAGGAATGGAAAGATATATTGTGAACTGCCTAGTAAGTGTTGAAACGGTTTCTTAGTGTACTGACAATTCTTCCTT